GAGGAGCTGGCGGGTACGAAGGGGTCTGGTTCTCCATCACTGAAGGAATCTTCCAAGACTCGGGTTCGTCCACGTCTGAGGAAAGCTGGTGCGACGAGCATGCTGGCTTTAGCCAAGCATGATGAGGGCCCTGCCTCACCTGGGGCTATGCATGGGCTGGAGGATGAGGAGGATGTTGTTCCTCTGGGTGATCCTGTTGTTGCGCGTCACCAGGAGGATTCTGACTCTGATGGAGATCACTTGCTTGGAGCATTTGAAATCAAGCGGCGTTCCCCAGATGGGGGCTCAACAAAGGCTTGCCAGGTCATGAAAGGGCGGTTCCACCAAGTAGTGGAGGCTTTTGAGGCTGGGCTTGTCTTCGAGCGGGAGGAGGATGTTCCTCCTAGAGGATCGGGTGTGACTTTGGATGAGTATGGGACTAATCTGATGGGCCCAATCATGGAGAATCGGAAGTGGGGGATAGATGCGTTGGACGGGGATGTTGGTAACCCCCCTACTCCAAAGAAACAATTTGTGGAAGCTGCTGAAGGATTGGAAAAGGTGGAGGAAGCCAGCCTAGAATGGCCCCAGGGTGATAAATGAGGCTTCTGGCCTGGAATGTGAGAGGAATTGGGCCATCCCTCACTTTCCAAACTGCTGTAGGGCTTGTTTATTCCAATAAGCCGGATCTCGTGTTTTTCTCGGAGACACGATCGAGCCGGGGTGTAGTGTCCTGCCGTATGCGGGGTCTAGGTTTTGCTCTTTCTCATTGTTTTTTTTTTGTAGATGCATTCAATGCATCGGGTGGTTTAGTAGTTGCTTGGTCCCCGGAGTTGACACTTCGGTGTTTTGTCATTCAAATTTCTATATTTGTTCGCAAATTAATGAAGGGGATTTTTCTTATGTTGTGCTCTTCGTTTATATTAGTTGTAATATTGTTGTTCGAGCTACCCAATTGGCTCATTTGCGGAACATTTGTGCGAATCTTGATCACCCTTATGTGATCATAGGCGATTTCAATGCTACTCTGCATGAGAGTGAAAAAGATGGGGGGCGGGCGTGGAATGCTGCCCAAGCTTTTAGTCTCCGTGAATTTGTTCATGATTTGGGTCTCCACGACCCTGGTTACCAAGGAGATCAGTTTACTTGGACTAATAAGCGCATGGGCGATACTTGCATTCGTGCTCGTCTGGATAGAGCGATTTGCTCTCAGTCCTGGATGGATACGTACCCGGAGACTCTAGTCAAACACTTCACGGACCAGAGATCAGACCATCGTGACCTTCTCCTTGATGATAAACCATATGTTCGTACTAGTCGGCCTCTTTTTCGTTTTGATGCCCGTTGGGCGGATAATCCGGAGGTAAGGGCCATGGAAACTATGTCTGGCAGGAGGAGGTCCAAGGCACCCCTATGTTTCGACTGTGGGAATGCCTAAAGAAACTCCGTCATCTGCTATATGATTGGAGCAGGGCGGGCACAACTAATTCTCTGCGTAATATCAAGACGCTCCAAGCCGAGATTGATAGGATAAGATCGATCCATCTGGTGGATTGGGATGAGATTAGGACCCTGGAAACGGAACTCTCCCGTCAGTGGGAAGCGAAGGAGGTATTCTGGCAGCAAAAATTCAGAGTTAAATGGTTAAAAAAAGGAGATCAAAATTTTGCCTACTTCCATACGGTCACAAGGGCACGGCGGAAGAGGAACTTCGTTTCTGGACTTCGAAATGAGGAGGGTGAATGGGTCACTGAGGAAACTGGAAAGGCTTCTATTGCCACCAATTTTTATCAGACCTTGTTTACCTCGGAAACTCAGGTTCCTGATATGGCCGAGAGGGTGGCAACTCTGCCAATTGTCCATAGTGTTACTCCGCAAATGAATGCACAATTGACGGCGGAGGTTTTGCCTAGTGAGGTCCGGAGGACGGTCTTTTCCATGGGTTCGAAACAGGCCCCGGGATCGGATGGATCCACGGGGAAGTTCTTTAAAGCTTTCTGGGATAGTGTGGGCACTTTGGTGGTTGAAGCAGTAATCTCCTTCTTTACCTCGAATCGGATGTTGCGAAGTTTTAACCATACATGGCTCACTTTGATTCCGAAAGTGGACTCGGTGGAAACAATTAGACAATTGCGTCTGATTAGTCTCTGCCAGTTTGTTTACAAAGTGATTACCAAAATCATGGTTGAACGGCTGGCTAGCATGCTTCCGCAGATCGTTTCGGAAGGCCAAAATGGCTTTATCAGAGACCTGCAGATTATTGATAACATCCTTATAGGACATGAATTAATGCACTATCTGAAAATAAAACTGCAAGGGAAGAAGGGGTACATGGCTCTGAAGGTTGACATGGAAAAGGCCTATGATAGAGTCGAATGGTCATTTCTTCTTACAGTGTTGGATAAGATGGGTTTTAATTCAGTCTGGTAAGGATGGATACATGAATGTCTTTGATCCTCCTCTTTCTCGGTTCTGATGAATGGTACACCCTCGGATTATTTCACTGCCTCTAGGGGCCTTCGCCAGGGGGATCCGCTCTCTCCTCTCTTGTTTGTACTGTGCACGGAGGGGTTTGCAGCCCTCCACCGAAAGGCGATTACGGAGAAAAAATTAGAGGGGGTGAAAGTAACTCATCGTGCTCCAAGAGTCTCGCATCTATTCTTCGCGGATGATTCTTATTTATTTTTGCGAGGTTCTCTGCAGGAGTGCGAGAATTTAATTCAGGTGTTGAATGAATATGAGGAACTGAGTGGTCAACGCGTTAATTTGGAGAAGTCGGCGGTGTGCTTTAGCAAGAATATTTCCACGCCAGATCAGGAGTTCTTGGCCATGATTCTAGGGGTTGGTGCGGTGAGGGTCCATGATAAATATCTGGGGCTTCCAAGGCTGGTTGCTCGGTCCAAAATGGCTACTTTCAGATATTTGGAGGAAAAACTCATAGAGCGACTTCAAGGGTGGAAGCAAAGGACATTGTCGTGCGCTTCTAAGGAAACATTGATTAAATCCATAGCGTTGGCTCTTCCCCTTCATGTTATGTCCTGTTTCCGTCTTCCCCTGGCTCTTTGTCGTCTTTTAGATAAGCATGTAGCCCGTTTTTGGTGGGGTGCTGAGGATGGTACTCCCAAAATTAGATGGGTGTCCTGGCGTAACATGTGTAGGAGTAAGCATGATGGGGGGGATGGGATTTCGCCAGTTCGAACATTTCAACCAAGCTCCGTTGGCTATGATAGGCTGGCGTATTCTCAATGAACCTCAATCACTTATTGCTCAGATCTATAAAGGCAAGTATTTCCCTCAAGGGTCTTTCCTGACCGCGACTGCTAGGTCTCGTCCCTCTTGGGGGTGGCAAAGTATCCTGCATGGGCGCTAGTTATTGGAGAGGGGTTTGAGATGGCAGGTTGGTAATGGCCAATCGGTCTCCCTCCTTCATTCTAATTGGATTCCTAGGTACCAACTTGATCCCCCAAGCTATAATCCGCGGATCTTGCCAGAGGGGGGTGACCCCTTGGTGGTGGAGGTTATGTGTGAGGGGGGGGGGGGGAGGTGGTCTGATGAGAAGCTCAGTCAATGGTTTGACCCGCCTACCTGTAAGGCTATTAAAGTGATTCCTCTCCCGCGTTGGGACGTGCCTGATAAGCTTATCTGGCATTTTACGGGCGTCGGGGTCTTCTCGGTTAAGTCGGCCTATCATTTGGCTGAAGATTTGGACAGGAGGAGGGGTGGGTGGCGATCCTCGGTTAGCTGGATGGATAAGCAGAGTTGGATTAGAGTTTGGGAGGCGAGGATTCCTCCGAAGTTGAAGGTTTTTATTTGGCAAATTCTTAATCGGGCTCTGCCGACTACGAAGGCGCTTATTGAGAATAACGTCTAGGTGCTAACTCGGTGTCCAGTTTGTTGGGATGTGCCGGAGACAATGGAACACCTGTTCCTTTATTGTCCGGTTGCGTGGGCCCTCTGGGATTATTCTGGTCTGGAGTATTTGGGGGAGGGTTTGCCTCGGCATACTTTTCCTTTGTTTCTCAAACGTCTGTTGGGTTTGATCCATCAACCGTCAGTGGTTATGGCTGTTGTTGCCATCCTTTGGAGGATCTGGCGATCTCGGAATTGGGTTGTCTTTGAAGGCAAACAATTTGGGATCCCGACACTCATGCGGCAGTTTAACCAACAATATAAGGAATGGGTGGGTCTACCAGCGGATCAGGCGCCTAGGGCACATATTCCAATAATACAATCTACAGCACAAGTGGGTGATTCTCATTTGGTTTGCATGTGGGACAGAGCTACTAAGGGTGGGTCACATTCGGCTGGTGGGATGGTTCTTTTTGACCCAGAGCGGACACTCCTTATGGCTAGAGGGGTCCAGTTTTCTCAAATTGATGATCATGTAGTGGTGGAATTGCTTGTGCTTAGGGATGCTATTATTTGGTGTGTGGAGCAAGGTTTGTCGGAGGTCCGATTTGAGGGTGATGGAAAGGTGATTATTGACAAAATTATCAAGCCGACACGAGAAATAGCCGGTTGAGTGTTGTTTTGGAAGAGGTTGCTCATTATTTTCGTACTCAGCCTGGCTTTAGTGTGCGTTTTGTAGGTCGGGAGAACAATATGGTAGCTCATTTGGTAGCTAGGAAAGCCCTCTCTTTGTATCCGACTATGAGTCGCTTCTTTGATTCCAGACCTGGCTGATTTCCAGGATATAACTGTCTATTTTTTCGATCAATACATGATATCTTTTGGAAAAAAAAAACCAAACTGTATAATCTAATTTGGTTTATGATTTTTCAAACTGTCTTTGATCTATTTTACCACACCCCAGTCCTACTAACAGATGTATTGTTGGGTGCTTGGGGCCGTTAAGGGAAAGAAACGGTAAATTTTCCGAAAACCCAAAAGGTAATTAAGTTATCTGATTGTGATTATAACAAATAAAAAAACATGATAAAAAGGTACAATAATAGACGAGGGTAAGTGGGTAACAGCCCAACTGTTAAATTAGTATTTCCGTTTATCGGCCACCTCAAATCGTTAATCAACAGTTTCCGAAGCAGTTCGGTTAGTTTGCATATTCAGTTAAGTCAGTTAATCCTTTCCCAAACCCATCATTATTAATCCATCCATTAGCAGCTCCCTAATTTCAATCATCTCACCTCCAAAAACTTAAACATCTTCCCCCCAATCACATCATCATCTAATCACCCGCCCGCCGTCTCTCCTCCACGAGATGGCTTCCGTCAACGGCGAGTACCAATCCGTCGCCGTCGACGACCCCGCCACCGTCCCCGTCGAAGAACCCGCCCCCGTCCCTCCCCCGCCGGCAAACGAATACATTCAAGTCCCGACCGTTCTTCCGCTAAGCCATTTCCCCACCGACATCGAACAAACAGAGCAAACAGAGCATCCCGCAGCAGATTCTTCGAGAGAATTTGAGTATCCCGAGGATTGGCTGGTGGGAATATTCTATTTCTTCCTCGGCGCCCTCCTCCTGTCCTCCGTCAACGCATTCAACTCCTCACGATTCGCCCGATTCTTCCCGCCGGAGCTCTACCTCCAATCCCTCTCCGTCTCCGGCCTCCGCGTCTCCAATTCCTCCCTCGCCGCCGACTTCACCGCTGAATTCTTCCTCTACAATAACAATTGGGGATCCTCCGTGACGCTGGACGGCGTGGAGGTCTCCGTGCTGTATTACGACGACACCGTATTGGGGACGGCGAAATCGGGCCAGGAGTTTGGGCTCGGGCCCATGAGCGCGAGGGAGGCCGAAATGAATCTGGAAAGGACCGGCGAGGTGAAGGCCCACGAGCCGGCTGTTGGGCTCGAGGTGTTGAGGAGGATTAAGGATGAGGTGGAGACGGACCGGGTGTTGAGCTTGGGCCTGAGGTTCAAGATGACGGCGGAGTACAATTACGGGAAGGACGGCGGGAGGAAGAAGGGAGCTGAAGTGATGGGCGAGTGCTTGGGGGTAATTGTGGAAATGGACCCCGAGATTGGGATCGGGAGCTGGAGGTTCGATTTTGGGGGGATGGAGTGTGCTGTTTTTGCTACGTTCGAGGACGACGAAGCGTCGCAGCTGTGATACAGTATGAACTGGACCAACTTGTTCGTTGGCCAATGTCATGAAATTCGTATCTTATTATTGTAGTAATTTTGGTCAAATATTTCTTTGATTCTTGTGATACATTTTTATCTATGGAGTGACCAAACAAACAAGATATAATTTGACGAGGATGATGTTGTTTTCTTTCCTATATTTGGTGAGGAAAGGGCGGCAAAGTGTACATTCTTTAACGATAGATTTATCATAATCAATAAGTTTATCATCGCCGGTGATTAAACTATTATCACGTGCTTGAGAGAACTTAACTGTCAACTCTGCTTAGCATTACCAAAACACTAATCACCAATTTCACATTTGTCTAAATTAGGGTGTATAACCACTGGTTATACATTTAAGTATAACAAGACTCGATTCCTTAAATTTATGCAGGGTTAGATCTAAGGATTGAAATTAAAATACTTTCAATTGTGATTTACAAAATAAAAATTCATGTGCATTATATTTCGAGAAAATAAATTTGGTACCATCCATTATCACTCGTTACCATTCTGGTACCACCTGTTATCACTCTGTACCACCTTCACTTTAACTAAAATTTTGAAAAATTTAGCATGTGAGTTCGTGATCTATTATGATCTACAAAATTTTCTGAAAATCCTAGTACAGGATGGTAAGTGGTAACCGGCGGTAGATGATGGTGAAATAGTGGTTAGGATAGTCCTACTATATATCCACATCACCTTGATACACTTCCATACCACCATGATATAATTTTATATACTACCAAACACTAACACAATGGTATATATGGTTGATATATACCTCAATTTTTATTTCAAAACATGTCAAATTAAATATAAATGAGAATATTATAAATATGATTTTTCTAAAAAAAATAAATTACTTAAAATAAAAGAGATATAACCACGTAGGAATAACCAACCACTTTACTCATCATTAGCTCCTACCAAGCACACGAACAAGGACACTCTGTCGGACATTTGGATTTCTCCATGCTTGAGCCAAGTTTCTCTTTCACTCTCCTGAGGTGCCTCCGCTGCTTTCCCTCTTGGTGACTAAGGCGCGTAGGATCCTGCACACGAGGCGACAACAGATCTTTTGCGGTACATTAGCACTGCAGCACCACAGTTTAGAGAGAGAAGTGAAGTAAAGGTTTTAGTGTGAGAGTTTAATATGATCAAAATGAAGTTCACCTACTCTCCTATTTATACTCGGAGCCTGGTCGACCATTGCATCTCAATCCCGCCCTACGTCATCACCATAATAAATGCACCGTACTTTCGCTTTGTTATGCGCCTCGACCACCTGACACCATATTCAGAATTTCAGGGCACATGACCTCATCTACTACCAGGGGCAGATACATGTGCCTCTAGGGGTGTCCTGGGACACCCCTAAAATTTGGGGAAACGATTATCCAACCTCCGGTAGTAGTTTCGTATGGGTATACAAAATATAATTGGTAATCCGGGACACCCTAACATTTGAAAAAATGATTATCCTACCCTCGATAATAGTTTGCTTATGATTAACAAAATATAAGTGGTAGTCCGTGTTATTCCAACCTACGACACTACTATTATCAAATATATTCTAATTATGTTGCTGCTCATTTGTTATTCTATTTTAAATATCATGCAACAGTAAAACGCTATTTCTTTATCCCCAACTATTTTCAATACCTAATAATTAAACTACGTACACGCTACCCTTAATTTTGAATTGATTTTATGGTTACACGGCAAGTGTTGAAAGAGTCTTTTCTACTTTGAGCTACATTAAGAACAAGGTTAGAAATCGAATATGTGATAAGTTCGTGAAGTATTGTCTAGTAGGATATGTAGATTTTTTTTTGAACAATGCAGACACGGAGTTTATTTATATTATTTTTTCAAAATATAAATTTTAATTTATTATTTAATAAAAAATTTATAAAAATTATACATGTTGGGCCATAGCTGAGCAGTATAGGGCTTGGAAGCCCAGAAGGGTAAGGCCCGTCCAAAGGGCCCAAGAAGACGTCTGGGGGAACGTAACACATAAGAAACAGAGAAAGGAAGGCGGCCATACTAGGACATGACAGGTACTAGGACGCCTGACACAAAGAGCCGTTAGGGGCAGAATGGGAGATCTTCCTAGGATACTCACCTCGAATACTGCAGGACTAATCATTAATTGCCGCCGTAGGCGGTCTAAATAAAGTAGGACAAGATATAGGACGCCTGACATGGTAATTAATGCTCGAAGCCCAGCCCAAACCACTATAAATACATTCATATCTGCATTGATGGTAAACCAACTACTCTCTCTCTCTCTCTAAACATTATTACAGAATTCTCTCTCTCTCTAACTTGAGCTTTGGAGGGTGTCCTGGGTGATCACCCAAGGACCCTTGTTTTGTAGGAGCTTGGAGTCCCCCATCATCCGGATCAGACGCCTTGCTAGTTCCGCAAACCCGCCTAGAACATTCTAGGCTCAAACAATTTGGCGCCCACCGCGGGGCTAGCATTGCACTGAAGAAAAGATGGATGGGAGCTCCAATACTCCCGTCAAAGGCGTAGTGGAAAGAAGTCCCCTTCGCGCACCAGACGCACCAGCGAGCGGAATGCGAGGAATGGAGATGCCAACCGTGGAAGAAGAAATGGAAATGGAGGACCGCGTAAAGAGCCAAGGACATCAAATATCGAGCATGCAAGAGAGCTTGATCCAAATTTTGGCGATGCTCAAGGAGAAGAAAAGTGACGCCCCCGAGAGCTCAGGAAGGAAGGCGGTCAAAGGGAAGAGAAAGGAAGGCGGTCCTAGCAGCCCCGTCTCAATAGAAGGCGGGGAGTCAGAGAAAGAAGAGGACGACCTTAACTTGGGATTCCTTGAAGAGCATCTTAAGCCCTCATACGGGAAGGTGAAGGGCCCCAACATCCTGCAGAATCCACTAGCCAGGAGTTTGTTCAGGACCCAGTTCCCCCCTAACTTCTCGTCACTAGGGCTCCCAACGTACGATGGGAGCTCAGATCCCGCCGATCATTTGAGTGCGTTCATGCTCAAAATGCAACTCATCAACGCTACAGACGCTGATCTGTGTAAGGCGTTCCCCGTCACGATCAGCGGTCACTGCCGAACCTGGTACACCTCCCTCCCAGAGGGGATAATAGAGGATTTTGAGCAGTTCGCGACTCTGTTCTCTTCGAAATTTGCGTCGCAGAGGAGGAGGAAGCTAACAGTCTCGTCACTCATCAATTGCAAGCAAGGAAGGGAGGAGTTGCTTACAGACTTCTACGATAGGTGGAACACGATAGCCTGCGAGGTACAGGGGATCTCGCCAAGTGTAGCGGCGGGAAACCTACGCATGTCGACGCATAGCCGCGAGCTACGAAGGGCGCTCATTAAAAAAGAGCACTCGCTGAAAGAATGGACCGATCTGGATCGCCTTGTGAGGAAGGCGATCCTGTTAGAAGAAGCCATGGCAATTGAAGAAACTGCCAAGCACCCCAACCCAAGAGAGAGAACAGAAAGGAAGAGAGGATCGCCAAAGAGAAGAGGGCGTTCTTCGGAAAGGAGAGGGTATAAGCCGCGGTTCACGCAACGAGACAACAGGAAAGAAGTGTACACCACAAGTCAAGACGGAGGTCGAGATAGGCAAAATGACAACAGTGCGCGCCAGACGCACAGGAGAGAAGATGACCGAAAATGGTGCGACTGGCACCAAATGCCCACACATGACACCACGGAGTGTCGGGAATTCAAAGCCAGCCTCAAATACTTAGCACCCGGGGATCTCAGGAGCCGCTTAGACACGAGACCGCAGAAGGAAGAGCAAAGACACCACAGAAATAGGTCACCAAGTCCGAGGAGGAGATCTCGCACGCCGAAGCGGCAGAGGTCGAGGTCGCAGAGAAGGGAGCGCTCGCCCAGGCATGATCGCCTACCGCCACCACCAAGAAGGTCTCCTCCACGTCGACAACCGCGTGTTAATGAGGACGACGTTGAGGTAATTACCATTGCGGGCGGCCGGAAGAGGCCGGGAAGCGAAGGGGAACGCCTAATCCAATGCCTGAACGTTCACAAGAGCGAGCAGGTGGATATCAGCTTCTCACCTGATGAGCTGGCCCCCGAAGAGAGCGCGGAGGACCCGCTGGTCATCTCCCTGCGAACAAGAAAGTTCAAGATCACCAGGGCGCTAGTGGACAACGGTAGTTCGGCGGACATACTGTTCTATTCTACGCTCAAAAGCATGAAGATGAGCGTTCAAGATCTCAAACCTTCTTCCACCAGCCTCGTAGGATTTTCAGGGTCCAAAATCAGAGTGCTAGGCCTGATCACATTACAGGTAACAATCGGAGAGGGGAGCGTAACGAAGACCCGGTCCATGGATTTTCACGTAGTAGACTGCCCATCAGCATACAATGCAATCCTGGGGCGTGGTTTCTTGTCACTATTCTCAGCGGTCCCATCCACATGCCACCAAACGCTCAAGTTCCCAGTAGGAGGGCGTATTGGGCAAGCCAGAGGAAACACTGAACAAGCGAAAGAATGCTATCAGGCAACCATAGAGAGTTTGGAGGTAGACTTAGGGCATGTTTGGAAGTTAGGATTCTCTAAATTGATGTATTTAATCAATGTATGTATTATAATTAGATGCATTGTTTCAATGTATGAATTTGAAAAATACATTGTTTGGAGATTGAATGATTTTGGTGGTCCCTCAAAGAATAAGGAACAAAAAGTAAGACAACAATCCCTCAAACATAATCTCTACTAAAAGTTGAGATTTACAATCATTCATAATGAATGATTCTGGTGGGCCCATCTGCTGTTCAAATACAAGCATTCTGTTTCATTTTAAGCCAAAAAAACGATGAATTCTTCTGATTACATGTATTGGCTAAATACATCATCTGAAATCCCAACTTTCAAACGAGCCCTTAGTGGACACCAGGGGCGGTCACCCTCGTCCAGAGGCGGTGGAAGGAGATGCTGAGGTGGTTTTGGACAGCGAAGAGCCAGCAAAAAAGGTGAGGATTTCTTCTCATCTCGCGGAAGGAAAGGCAAGGGAGCTCCTGGTACTCCTCAAAGAATTCAAAGACTTGTTTGCGTGGACGTCCGAAGACATGCCGGGCGTATCAAGAGAGCTCGCCGAGCATCGTCTGTCAGTGAAAAGTAAGGCGAAGCCAGTGCAACAGCGCAGAAGAAACGCATCTCTGGAGAAGCAAATGGCGTTGGAAGAGGAAGTTAAGCGGTTGCTTAAAG